GAAATATTTGACCAAATTTTCAACAGAAGAGTAGAAGTGTATGATTGAAAAGTAAACAAAAACAAACTGTTAACAGTTCTTATCTAAAGAAACAAGGACACATGTCTCAGTAAAACCCTAAGATATTTCTTTTACTTTCAAACAGCCACTGGTTTTGTATTTGATTTTCAAGTATGTGTATTAATTTTGTAACATCTTATGTGGAGCTCCTGCTGGGGGAAGAGCACCATCGTTTTTATTGGAGAAAGATAATATAAAAACTCTTTTTAAATTCCATTTTTTCATCTACTATTTAAGTTCCGTTATTTTGCAATCAATATTATGTTCATTTTACCAGTAGTTAGGGAGGAGTCTAAATTAATTCGCTCCACAATTTGGTGGATGGATTCAGTTAAAGACAGGAAGTTAACCTGACGTAGATGTGGCTTTTGTCCAGCAATAAAAATGGTTCATATTGGTTTCCTCTGTAATTTTTATCTCAACTACAACTTTAATTTTCCTGCCTTCACCACTTAAGATTGCATTTTTTGACGAATGGTGAATCTTGTTGTCAAGGGATGCTTCTGTTTGTATTTTTCAAATCTGTATTGAATTAGAATGAGCTAAAAAAGAAAAATTAAACCAAGAAATGATGCACAAACATATGCTGAAGCCAGAAAAAGTACACCATGCACAATATCCATGATAAAAACGATGATTTAGATATATACTGTTTTAGTACAGATTTCACTGTAAAAGATCACCTAATAGAAAATCTTTAATTCATAGATGTATGAGAGATACAGTATTTAGCATGTTAACAGTGCCTCACATTACATTGCACTGTATGTGTCTGTATGTACAGACAGACGCAGGAGCAAGCTGTTGCTATGTGCACCACATGGGAGCAGCAGCACACAGCATATGAGGCGTATGAATCCTGCAGCGTTGCCCCAATGGCACCTCCCATCACTCCCAGTAAGCCTGCCAGTGCCTCCCAGCCAGCCTCTATCTCAGCAATCCTCTTAGGCTTGACCCCACTCCACCGACGGCACCACCACAATCAGTTAATCCTATTAGGACACACACGGCTAGCTAACCAGCCGAGAGGCCGAGTCAATGATGGCGCACAGGTTGTAAACGACAAATGTAAGGGCTCCAAAGTGGGACAAAAAGACATGGCTGCAGCAGGTTTTTTAAAATGCAAAGCCATGCCAGCGAGCGACTCCACACCCATCAGAGTTCATTTAACACTTCACCTGGCACAGAGCTTTATTAGAACGAGTGAACAAACTGTTTAGTGAGTCCATGAAATTTTATGTGATGTGAAACTAATTTGCTAAATAATCAGGCCACACCTCACCGACATGGAATATCCACTGATGGAGAATTATGAAAGATGCTAAATCATCTGTTAAAACCACAATGCAAAGTTCCTCCACCTCACACATGATAAACAGACAGATTTCTGAGACTGATATATTTATTTATTTTCACTCTGAGAGCGCTTCATGTGCCTGAAAATAAAACACAAAATTAAGCAATACCTTACTTTATAATTTGCATATTCATAGATTCTGGTATTTTTAATGAGGTAGGAGTAGATTACTTTTTAAGGATTTTAATGTGGAAATTATACTTTTATATATACATATATGTCTGAATACATGTCTGGAGGGGATCTTTAAATGTATGGGCCATACAGGTGATAGATTTATGTTGGGAACATCAGTCCTAGTGTAGATTTGAATATGCCAAAATATGTTTGTTCTTTCCCCTGTTTGGAATAATAATAATAATGGATGTTGCTCAACAGGAGTAGTTCATTTCATTATGTCCAACCCTAGGAGGTAAAAAGAGAGAGACAAAGAGAAAAACAGAAAATAACAGATTTTCGCTGCAACCCTGCCAGAACTCAGCTCTACACCGGGAGTCATTTAGTAACAAGAGGATGGCTAAAAAGCAGAACTGTCTTTATGTTCAGGCATCGCTGGGCTGAAAAGTGCTCATCACAAGTTAGCTCGTCGAAACGCCCTCCAGGAGCTTCATGTTTCTTAATTGCAGAGCGCTGTTGCCATGGCGACATCCCTTCCCCCTTGCTGAGCTGAGAGCACATGGTGATGCTTTAGGCAGAGCTGCGGGGGGGTGACACACACACAGAGAGACACACACACTTCCCTCAGTGTGTAGAGTAATATGTAAACAGCCAGAGCAGCCAGCTATGGAAATGACCTCCCCTAGTGAAGACATTCAGACTCCTCTTCCCATCCCCAGAGTGGAGGCTGGGTCTCTCTCTGCAGGTCTGACGCATTAGTGAAGCAGTAAAACAGAAAGATCACTCCCCTGTAACACTACATATCCGCATTTGCGTCACGCACAACCAATTAGTTCAGCTAATGGACAGGAAATGATTGCTGATCAGGTCCCACTCACTCATGGTGTGATGTTTAGAGGTGTAGATTACACACAGTGTGTTAAAATGTCTGCAAAGCTCAGAATGACTTCTTTGTGGATGATTTCAATGCAGGTGTGTCCAGTCGGGTACTGATACTGTAGCTCATTTACAGCACTTGAATGAGTTTTGTCAATAAAAACATGTAAGCTGTGTGTTCTATAGTAAAACTGCCACAAAGAGAAAAAAACAACCCAAAACCATAGAGCTGGCAAAAAAAGGAAAAGACCTGTAATCAGTAACGGTACACTACAAAAAAGGCTCATTTGTGACCTTTGACTTTCTTTCTAGAGCACGCCGCTGGACCTGATTGAGACCGGAAAGGGGCTGAAGTTCCAAGCAGAGCGCCCCCACCTGGTCAGCCTGGGTAGTGGACGGCTGAGCACAGCCATCACCCTGTTGCCCCTGCCTGAGGGTGAGACATCTGCAGCAGCACCGACACACCAGTTAGACACACTGTAGAGGCAGCAGCTGATGTCAGTGTTAGAAAATACACTTGTGAAGACGCTGTTTTTATATTACTCATCACTCTTGTGTTATTCGGTTGGTAAACATGCCAACTCAGCAGTCATACTGTAGTTATTATCACATTGTTGTTTCCAGACTGTATTGCAGGCTTTATTATGTTCATTTTAATTTGAATGATTTATTACATTTACAGGCTTTTACAAAGGGCCACAGCACACACACACTCTCCCCGGTGACCTGACCTTGTTATCACCTATATCTATCATTCGTCCTTGTCTGTCTCTTTGTGCGAGCTGCGGGCAGTTCATCATGTGTCTCTGTCTGGTGACCTCTTGCTCTTTGTTCTGCCTGTTCGTATTATGCCCTTTCTGTCTGTCTGACTGTCTGTCAGTACCTCTGTGTCTGCTGGCCTTCCTGTCTCTGCAGGCTGGTATGCAGGGAGATTCCTCAATCAGAGGTTTCGTCCTGGCAGGGAAAGTGTGTGTGAGTCAGTGTCAGTGTGTTACACCTTCGACAGTTTACACTACTATTGTTACTACTACTCAAGGACGCCATTGTCCCGCTCACTTTTATAGTTCCAGGTTGATAATACTAAACATCTGTGAACATTGTCCTCTGGTTGCTCAGGCTCCACAGTCCAGATGAGAGAAAATCTGAGCTGATAAAGATGCCGACACACCCGTCTGAGTCGCCTTCAGTTCTAACCGTGCACTCAAAGCGTCAGGCCTAATGAGCAGCAGTGAATAGTGCAACAAGTGCTTCACTTATATGCCCTGGGTTTTGCCTCTCAGGTTACAGCCTGTAGGCTACACTTCATTATTGGTGGAGGCATAGATGCTGATTTATGTTTGAATACCACCATGGTGATGATTGTCACAAAATCTCTTTCATTGCACATGCTTTAGTAATTACCGTGGATATAGACACAGATTATAACAGGCTACACCATACCAGCACACCGTCTTGAGAGGGTATTTACATGGCCACAACATAACACTACGTCACCTGCATGAATAATAGTAGACAGTTAATGCTCTTTGTACTAACGTTAGTAGTAAAGATTGTGTATCAAAAAGTATTGGGTATCGGGGGTGCCCTATAGGACACATTGCTGCATGTGCCGAGGCTGAGTCCTTGCTGCAGTGGCCATTGGCCTGTAACCCTTTGCTGTGCTCTCTCCCCACTTTCCTGTCAATCTTCAAGTGTCTTATAATATATCTTTATAAAGAAACACACGAGAAACTACAATATTTGGTTAAATTGTGGTTATTAGACAAAATTGCAAGATTGTGCAGAATTTTGTGGGATTGTTTGAATTTGCATTAATTGTTTTGGATTATGTATTATATGTTGTCTTATGGGGAAAAGTCTTTTTGGGCCAGAATGCATCACATGATGGACATCATTGCTATACTTACATGGTTTAGCCCCTGTGTCAAACGCACACACACTGGTTCATACTGAGATGGTAGTGCATTATTAATCTGTCATGAATCGGTCTTTGAATCGATATAGTACTGATCAATTCCACAATATATACTGTATGTCATTAATCACATTCAATATTGTATCTTAGGGCACCACTTAACATGTTACTGTAACTCCTTCAGGCCGGACCACACTGGGTCATGGCCCCATGGACATCAGCATCCAGGGCCCCGGGGTGGCCGCCCTGCACTGCTACATAGAGAACAGGTCAGGGGTCATCACGCTGCACCCCTGCGGGAACCCCTGTGCCATTGACGGGCTCCAGGTCACACAGCCCGTCCGCCTGTCACAAGGTAAGAATCAGCCTAAACATCTGCCCCATAATGCACTCTGCTGAAGCTAGATGGTTCCTGTTACTGCATTTTTTTGTTAACACTTTAGCTGAAGAGCAACCAGATTGTCGGCAACACTGAAATCAGCAATTTAGTTCATTTTCATATTGCTTCTGCCTTGTATGGATTTCCATTGTCTGCACTGTAGAGGAAACATTACAGGAAACCGATGTGCAGACGTTAAAGGATGTGTGCTTTCTGATTGACTCAGCTGTAATTTCACCTGCCTACCGATGTGTATGATCCCAGTTCATCAGCCCTCGGCCTGGTCAATGAAAGTGCAGCATAAGAGCCGGCAGGTCCATTCAATAAAATGCACAGTCTAAGCTTTTAAACAGCCATCGATTGAAGAACAGCCAGAGGTTCCTGTGTTAATAAGTTAACAGAGTGAACTTCGCCGTGCTCAGGCATGCAGATATTGAAGAAAGCAGAGATGAATTGATTTTCAATCTGACACAGCCCGGCTGGATCTTAGATTGGCCGCTGTGGAGAATTTTACTAAAATGATCCTCTGGGATTGGCATTTTAAAGGTAAAGGATTCATAGAAGGTAAAGCCTCCTGGGAAAGTGGAAGCTAGGGCAAAGGTTAACCAGAAGCCTCGTCTGTCTATAACTCAAACCCACAGAGTAGAAAGTCACAAGATAATGGAACTGAAAGGATCTTGCTGAAAGAAGCCAAGAAGTTTGATAAAATCTCAGAATATTGGGGTTTTAAAATGTTGTAATTTAAACTCTACATCGCTCCCCACACTCATTGCTTTAGGTGTTAGTTTTCAGACCAGCAGTGATAGAAACCTGGACCGTTCTAAGCCTTGGACAAAAGTGAGGCTCCACATGATACTTTCACACTTTCACTAATCATCTAATCACAGTATTCTGGACCAAATGATGTAGAAGCAAAATAAAAAGTAAATACAACATACCTGATATTAAAAACATCAATAGCACTGTATATACCCTGATTTACCCCCCTAACAGTTTGGGACTGACACTAGAAAAAAACTCTATTAAACTATGTATCAGTTAGGCGAGTGGGATCACTGTGTGGTGTGCAGAGAGGAAGTAAAACTGTAAACCGTGTAACTGTTTTGATTTAGTCATGGAAATTCATAGAAGTTTACCCTGGAGCCTCAGAGGGACACACTCATCATTACTCACAGGATGTGAATTTCCCTATCTGCTGATGGGATTGAGCGGTAACACTACAGTGTGTGCACTGTAGTGTTACCGCTCATCCTCATAGAGATGTTCACCAGTACTAATCACACAGTCAGTACACACTGCATGGACTCATAACATTCCTCTCTAAATGCTCTCTGCACACAGTATCCCGCGTCCTGTGTGATGATGATGTGTTATGTGTAGGAGAACACGTGTGTTGTCTGTCAGTGTGTCCCTCTGTCTTTTGGCATTTCAACCTGGACTCTGGTTGGGTAACCTGAGTGGGGACACAGGGCTATTTATACTGCCCCCTCTACCCCAGACAGATCCGACTTTAGCTCCAGAGAGGGTTTCAGGTTGAAGAATGAGTGTGAGGGTAAAGCAGAGTCCACTGTCAGGGTCCAGGAACAGTTGGAACGTATGATGAGCTGAAAGGGAAATAGTTTTGGTTGTTCACACACGTTAATGCAGGCTAATATAGATCTAACTTTACAGTAGGAAGGGGATCAGACATTATTGATTACACAACATCTTACTTACCACTCCCATGAGTTGTGTACATTATATGAGTAATACACTGCAGTGCACTTCCCTAGAAGACAAGTGAAGTACTGTATGCATCATAGGAAGCTATGACTAGACTCTGCTGTGTGTCACAGGTAGTCGAATGCTGTCTGCATTCTGTACTTTTTACAGATAAGTGGTCTGGTGACGGCTTCAACTTGTCAGTGTTACAATTCATAGAAGACCAAGCAGCAACAAGTCCGTATTACAAAATGCAAAAGTGCTTAACAAGCATTTAGCGGTAATCCGCCCGGGTTTACAGTATAAATCAGAGGAGCCGGTGGAGGGAAATCCTGACAATGAAAGGGCGTGTAAAAACTAAGCCAGTTTGTTCAAAGCGAGATGAGCTTATGTTTTAAAGGGATAACGTTTGGTCGGCCTGATTCGGCCTATCTGAGGGAACACAAAGGGAAGAGAGGGCTTGGGTGGAAATCTCAACATTAACTGAGGGAGACGTAAAGATAAACCAGTTTCTGCCTAAACATCTAAACCTGTTTACACTGTGAGCGCAGTAATAACTGATGACTGTAGATACCATGAAGTATTTCAACTACATATACAGACACACAGTGTAGGTATGAGGTACCCAGCATGAAGGTTAGTACAACTCATGAATTATTATTTAATAATACATAGTTTAAAGTTTAAGGTGCATTCCTCCAATTTTGCACATCAGATTCAGTTTATAGTCACTAGGGGGCCATACAGCCTCTGACAAACAGCTGTATAATGTTAATGTGCGGCTGTGAAGGAGCATCCTCTAACACAGGAAAGTTACTGTGATGATGTCATAGTGATGTCATCAGGGTTATTTTTACCCATTCTGTTTTGTGAGTGTATGGATGTTTCAATATAAATCACTGCAGATCATAAATGTGACTTTATTGGCTGCCTATAGTGTGACAGCAATAATTGTCTCATACTGGGTCAAATACTGTACTTAAATAGAGCATTTCCACTGATTGCTAGTTTATTCCTATACTCTACAGTACCTTTCAGATGGAAATATTGCAGTTTTTACTTCAGTATTACTTCAGTATTACTTTGTATTGACAGGTTTCAGTGACTTTGCAGTTTAAGATTTTGCATACAAAACATATGATGGGCGAATAACACAGGATGCATTGCACTAGATTTAATTATCAGTTAAAGGTGCAATACATTTTCTTATTGTTTTTTAGTTAAAAATGGTTTTAATTTACAGTTTAGTTTCATTTTTGGCTGAATGTGGGCTGCTGAATATGATACTTTTCTAAAATAATCATCAAATTACTTAAATATAATGATCTATTTTTTTCTATTGATACGGTAGATACCAAACTGTACATTTTCCTAGTGAGAAAGGAAGAGAAAAGTTAGACTTTTACTGAAGTAAAGGATGTGAACTATTATTATAATATATGTCTGTGGTTTCACTAGGAACACCATGACCCTATATAGAGTCAGTAGGACAGACAGATAAGCATATTATAATAACCAAGCAGAAATAATCTGATGCCCACACACACACACACACACACACACACACACACACACACACACACACACACACACACACACACACACACACACATCATATCATATTTAGGTTATTGTGCCTGGAGGGAACACTTATCCCGAATACTCCCTTTAATGTGTATTTTTATGGCTCCTAATACCTGAGGCTTCACCTTTGTTCTTTTATACAGTGATCAAAGTAGGACGAGAGAGAGAGCCACACCTTGGCATGCTCTCTCACTCTGGCTCTCACTTCAAATCAGCTGTGCGCACATGACAGGCCGGTGGTTGTCAAAACAACATAGACTCAATTCAGCCTGACATTAACATAACCAATAAATCAATAAATGGTATTGATCAGTTAAGATCCTCCATTGTGGACTGAGATGTGTGGGTCCCAGTGGTAGCTACACCCCCCTCTCTCCCCCCTTTATGCCTCTCTCTCTCTCTCTCTCTCTCTCTCTCTCGCTCGCTTTCTCTTTCTGTCTGACTCAGATCTCCTCCTTCTTTTCTTCCTCCTGCTCCTCCTCTCTGGTTTCTCTCCCCCAGTCCTCCTTGCTCCCTGACAGCCCCTCTCTCTCTCTCTCTCTCTCTCTCTCTCTCTCTCTCTCTCTGCGGGCTGAGGGATGACTGAGAGCCAGCTGTTTCTTACAGGAGCCCCGGCCAGTGTGTGTGTGTGTGAGATAGCGTCTTTACTTACGTGAATAGCGTGGGGAAGGAGACAATGGACAAGGATCACAATGACTGTAAAGTCCCGCACCGGTTTGAATGAACTGGGATACACCAACGCACCAGTGGATGAACCCGTGTTGTAACAAGTGGGCAAGCAGACAGCTCCCTTTGTGAAGCTTCAGATTATCTTGCAGAATATATTAGAGTCTATGGGGTTTTAGGATTATCATAACAAAAGCGCGTCGGGACAAAACCCCATAAACGCTCCTGTTGTCCCACAATAACTCACAGAAACGGAGGAAAAAACACGTGGCTTTATTTAAAGGAGCAGAGGCGATGAAAACAACGGAGGGAGAGAGGAGTTTCATTCATTGGAGTTAAAGTAAGTTGGTTTGTCTTTACTGTGAACTAGTTATAGGGTTTAAAGTCGGTGGTTGTGGCGGTGTTTGCTCTCAGCACCGGCTGGGCTTGTAATTTGTGCTAGCTGGTGGATGGTGTCATTAGAGTTGGGGACTGTGGGCAGACTGAGTGGCTTAAAGTGGACCCAAGAGGTTCTTAGGCTGGTTTTTATGTGACTAGCCAGAATATTGTGGGCACTAGTTGCCAGTGCCGGAAATACATATTCCTGCATTGTTATTATTTGTCTTTTTCTGTTCTTGCCAGTCAACGCGCACACTTCCGCCAAACTCCGCTTAAAAATCTGACAAATGTAACGTACCACTTTTGTTTTTATAAACCACAAGTAATATAACAATTCTTACGACTTTCCATGAATTAAGAGGAGGCTCTATTTAATTCGGCTAACATACACCAAACATGACTTGCTTAAGCTTTTAAAAAATCTAGTTGTATTGTGTTCTTGCCTGGTCTCAATTGGGTTTGTCCACTGCTATTGCTAGCCGTGTTAGCAAGTTAGAAAACTTCTGATTTTATTTACACAAAAAGATGCTTCGGATTATTTCCCATGCCGAATTTTTCTAAATACTCTTCTAACATTATTGAGTCGCTTAAGTCACAGTTCAAGATGAGCACATTTTGCCTAAACGAAAGAAAATTGTAAACTGTCA